TAAGGCAGGGGACTTGCCATGTCTGCTAACAGAGCTAACAAACCCAAATGCATGCACTTCTGAGCAGGCCCAAATACACCCTGGCCCAAAGCCACTGCAAGTTACCAAGCCCCAGACACACTCTACTGTTTTTTTCACTAAGGTTAGTGCAGCATCATTAGCTGGTACAGAGAGCTGGAAGAACATTCTTGCTACCCCATCATCTTTCTACTTGCTTTGTCTTGAACTGGATATAAATGTCTCCAAATGTTCAGGTGAAAGCAGAAGCATGGATTAAAGGAATTTCTATACAGTAAGGCCAGAGGGAGCAGCCTTGAGCAGAGTTATTTGTTAAGCATTAATGACTCTGTGCTTATTTCCCTGCCTTAGCATAAGAAATCTACAATACAGCAAACAAATTAATTTAGAGTAGAGTTTGAGGAGACTTTTAGCAGTTAGTGTTAATGGCTGGTGCTGTCAAAGTTGTGTTTCTGGTAACAAATGGGTGTGGGGTTCCTATCAGACTTTCTCTAAAGATCAGAAAACTTGGCTTATGAGAATGCTTTTTGTGAGTATTAGAGGTTCAGTGGTCATGGCTTTACTAACCTTTATAGAGGCTACATGAGAGAGATGGGCATGCAAAATAATGAAAATAGAGAAAGTGAAAATTAGCCTGCATATTACTGGAGGTAACAGTAGATCACAGTATGAGGTGAGGCTGAGAAAACTGGGTTTGTTCAGCCTTGATAACAAGGTCTCCTATAAGCCTTCTCTTCTTATGTTCCACTACTTAGAGGGTGGCTTCCAGGAAGACGGGAAGATTCCAGACTTCCAGGAAGACTCCTCTTTACAAGGAGTCACATGGAAAAGACAAGGGGTGATGGGCCCAAGTTGCTCCTGGGGAGATTCTGATGGGACACAAGAGGTAGATTTTTCACCCTGACAACAGTCAAACCTTGGAATAGTCTCCCAGGGGAAGTGGTGGATTCCCCCACATTGGGCAGGTTTTAAGTCTCAGCTTGACAGGGAGCTGAGCACCTCACATAGTGGGACCTAGAGAGGTTGGACCAGATGATCCTTGAGGTCACTTCCAACCTGAAATTCTACGATTCCATGATTCACAAATTACTACTATTACATGATTCACAAATTACTATGTATCCACTCATTATACTGTGCTGTACAGGAAAGAGAAGGCAAATGGGGCACACAAACAGAAGCAGACTACAAGGTGTGTCATTCCTTGTCCTGGTTTGAGCCAGGATAAAGCCAATTTTTCTTTTTACTGATTTTTTTTTTTTCCTTCAGTAAGCTTTCTTGTAACTAGCAACAGTGTGTTCTGCTAGGCTGATAAGACAGTGGAATGTTTTTCTAACTACTGAGGCTTCAAGGCTGCACCTGCACTCTGCCGGCTCAGACACTATGGGGAGATCTGTGACCCCCCCGTAGGAGGCTGAGTTAGA